CTAAAATGATAATTCAAACCATCTAAAATACAAAAAATATAAAAAGTAAATAAAACAAGTTTTATAAACAGTAAAGATAACATAATATAGTTGACCCTGGCTGGTGTGGCTCAGTGGATTGAGCATCAGCCTGAGAACCAAAGAGTCGCCAGTTCGATTCCCAGTTAGGGCACATGCCCAGGTTGCAGGCCAGGTCAGGTCCCCAGTGGGGGCATGAGAGAGGCAACCACACATTGATGTTTTTCTCCATCTGTTTCTCCCTCCCTTCCCCTCTCTAAAAATAAATTTTAAAAATCTTTAAAAAAATTATATATTTGATAAATATCAGTTAAATATTATGAGAGCTTAAACCAAATAAATCAGTCATATAAATTAATGTAAATGGAATAATTTAAACTATTACAATAAAAAGATTTTCTGGTTTGCTCAAAAAGGAATCTGAGCTCTATACTTTGGACAGAGATAAAACTAAAAGAAAGTGATTCAAAAAGGCTCCAAATAAGTGTATGACCAGAGATATATCTGATAAAGTATAGGAAACCATCTAAAAACTAATTCATAAGAGGCTGGTTGAATTTATACAAAATGGAGTACTTCATGACTATAAAAAAGAGAAATATCAGTACATGTGATATGAAATGATTTCTAAATCACATTGTAAAATAAAAAAAAATTAAGGCACAAAGTGTGTGTATGTTCATGCTACCATTTGAGTGTGAAAAAAGGGGAAATAAGCTTGTGTAGATATGGATGTATGTTTGTGTGTTTTTTTACTTTTAAAAAATAACCCAGGAAATGGACCAGAAATAGTGAACATTATTGCTCATAGGGTCTATTCAGAAAAATATCTAATTCCCATTTTCATGCAAGAAGTGCACAAGGTTAGCTTGTACCAAGGAGCACGTAATATATCAGACAGCAGTCATATCAGAAGAGCCCAGAAACCATCTTGAAGTTTTTGAATTAAGTTGCTACATGCCAACTTTGAGATAAGGAACAATAATTACAATGGGTTTAGGCTTATAAAACAATAAAATGTATGGGTTTATAATGATAATATTTAAAATGTTTATGATCTTCATAAGATATTGGAAAAACAACTTCTATGGAAATCTGGTAATTAGGTTTGTTAATTCTGCTTTTTCTATGAGAATTGTTATCTATTTAGTTGTCTCTTATGTTTGAATCTGTACAGTGAAAGAGAGAAAGAGAACGCAGGAGAGTGAGGTAGGAAAAGAAAAGAGTAGAGGAAAAGGGAGTAGATAGCAGGAAAGAAAGAGGTAGAAAAAGAGAAGAGAAAATTTTGAGAAAAAAAGGGATGGAAAAGGAAAGGAGAAAAAAAGAAAATAGAAAACAGAGCCAAGAAAGCAAAAATAAAATAAAGATTCTACCAGTATTTTAAAAATTGAATGGAAAAATGTGAAAGATAATTATTCTGATGTTTTATAAAGCCACTTATAATTTCTAAAAGTTTCCAGAGAGACAACAAAAGAGTAGGAATCAGAATGACATGCAGTTTCTCAAAAGTAGCACTGCTTGCTAGAATATAGGGGAAGAATGCCTTCGATGTTAGAAGCAAAATTATTTCAAATCTAGAATTCCATAGAAACCAAATTATTGATTATGTGTGAAGAAAGAACAAAGATCATTGACAACATGTCAAGACCAAATGTTAACTTGCAAGACACAACTAAGATATCTTAGCCAAATGAGGGAATGAACCTTGAAGAGGAAGATAGAGAGCTTGCAAATTCTGCAAAGGGCAGTCTCAGCAGGACAGCTGCTACATTTGGCCCAAAGAGAACAATCTCTCTAGGCCCAAACAGGAGGACAGAAGCCACCAGGAAAAGCCTCTCAGATAAAAAAGAATAAAAGATTATTTGGTATATTTGAGTTTTTAAAGAAGGTATTTGATAGACCCACAATGGACTTAATTGAATAAATGGAAAGATAAAGTTTTATTAACTTTAAAAAAACACACAAAAATCACACAGAATAGAAAATATAAGCACAGTAAACTAGTTGTTTCAGTGGCCAAAAGGGTTTGCATGTCCCTAATAGAAACTGCTTATCAAAAATTATGGAAAATCATGATATGCCGTCAAAGATGAGAGAGTGCGGAGGGATAAATAAATAAATATTCATTTACCACAACAGAAAGTTAATTGCTATGTCTACAATTGATACTAAGAAATATAAAGGTAAATTTTTACAGAAATAACTAAAACAATACAAAGTGGCTATAGCTAAAATGCATATCTTAGTGAGCACAAACCTAGCAATTTTAGAATGCACTTTTTAGTATTATTTTTCAAATTGATTTTTGAATAAAAATTAAAAAGTAAAAACAAAATAAAAGGAGCAACAGAGAGGGAGACTAGCCTGCATCATTTGGTAACGTGCAGGTGAGAGAGAATGGCAGCATGGAACTGTGTAAAGGTAGTCAGTGTACATGGGGAGGTTCAGGCACATTTCAGATATGTTTTAGACACAGTTGACAGATCTTGTGAAAGTTTGGACATAATAGCAGAGAGAGATGGAGAATCGCTCCTGATTCATTCTTTGCCCAACTAATTAGAGGCTGCTAACATCAAGACAGAGAAGACCAGGAAAAACCATGTTTTTGGGAAAATTCTAAGGTGCTTTTTGATCATGTTAAATTTAATATGTCTTTGAGACATTCACATAATTATGTCCTGCTTGGCTGTTGGATATATGAGTCTGGAGATCTCGAAAATGCATCAGAACTAGCAATACACATTCTTAGTCATCTTTATATTGATGATATTAAAAGCTATAAAAAGTATAAGTATGTCACATAAAAAGAAAGAATGGAAAGTATAAAATAAAGAATCTTATATCTGAAATTTATAGAATCCTAACATTCAGACTATGGTTAGAGGCAGAAGAATCTTTTCCAATCATAAAAGTCATTACTGCAGAGTTTAATTACTCCTTTAAATGTCTCTCTTCCCTACTAGAATATAAGTGTAGATATTGGAACTGTCTGGGTTTTTTGTGTTGAGCAGACTAGAGAGATGAGAAATAGACCTCTCTGAATATGCAAGTGCCTGTGCCTGTATGACTGAATGAACAAAAAGGAGTCAGAAGAAATCAGTGAGTGAGGGAAAAGAGTAAATGCGGTTGGAGTACTGATCAGCCATAAAAAATCATACTTTAATTCTCACTTTAAAACATTCTGAAATGAATCCCAGTTGAGTAAGAGTGCTCTGTATAAAAATTTAAGGGAAAATTTAAGGGAAAAGTTTATGGGAAAAGAAAGATAAAAATATGTTTATAAAATATCTCTGAATGATGGAGAACATACATTTTAATGCAAATAGAAGAAATAAACTGCTAACCAATTTATCTAGGGTCATTCACTTATTAATCCTCTCTTTTCTCATTGATTTGTGAAACTCTTCTTATTTTATATGGGAGTAATAAAATGTAGATAATCGAATTTTTCAGATTGATCAATGTATTGATTCTTGATTTAAAATCAAATTATTTTAATTATTGGAACTTCATTATATACTTTAATCTATAAATATCAAGTCTATTTGTTTTATTGGTTACTATTTTTCTAGAAAAATTTTAGAATTATTTTGCCAGGTTCTCAAAGAAATCCTTTGTGGATATTTATTTGTGTTAAATTAATCTGTGAGTGATTTTTGGAGAAACAAATCAAATAATGTTACATCTTCAACTCATGCTATATACTAATAAATTCCAGGAAGAATCAGGAACAAAGCACAAACATTTAAACTATCAAAAAAAGAAAAAAATAATAAAGAAGAAGGAGGAAAATGAGGAGAAGGAGGAGATAAAAGAAAAAGAGAGAAAGAAATAGTGACAGTAATATTGAAATATTAATGGTATATCTTAGATTAAGAAATTATTTTCAAAAAGCATCAAAGATTATACAATACAAAAATCAACATATATGAGCAAATCAAATTTAAATTTTTATCAAGTTATAAATAACAAATATTAAAATACTATTAACATGCAGAAATCATTTGCCAGAAATAATTTCAATACTTTAATATATTTTCTCTGTAAACAGTGTTACAAATAAATTAGGAAATAACAGGAAGACTTAAAGAAAAATTAATGGATAATTCATAGAAGTAAAAATGGCCCATAAGCAATATTAATTAATTTCACTATTATTTAAAAAATATAAGATAATAAAACAGTGACTTCATTAATGGTTTAAATGCTTATTGAGTGTTTACCATGGAAGTTGCTGTTCTACATTCCATACTACATAACATGATGATGCTTTTAAAAAGGGGAAGGACCTCAATCATACTTCAGGTTAAAGCAGATCTTAATCTATTGTAGCCAGCTTGTTATAATCCTTTATAAATTATTCAACAAAATGTATATTTGACTCTGTGTGTGTGTATTTCTTCTCATTCCATTTTCCTCCCCTCCTCTAGATAACATTCATGAATGTTATCTAGATTAAACTTCATTACTTTAAAAATAGATTACTGCAATTAGTTTGCTTCTAGTCTCTCTCCCTACAAACTAATCTATCTATGTCTGCCAGGTCAATTTTCTGAATGAAAATGAACAGATTTATACCAAGAATTTGTAAATATTTCAAACACTCTCCATCAGATTAGATATAATGTCTTCCATTAACTAGACAAAGTTAATGAAGGCAGACTCTTATGCACATTTAAACATTTAATTTTGATGCTGTGTTAATTTATTGAGGTTTGGAACAATAGTCTGACACAATTCCACGAGAATGAGAGTTAGTAAGAAAAGTTACCATTGAGTTTTCTCCTGCTTTACTTAGTAATGGTGGAGTTGGCATTAAGATTTGCCAGACAATTTTGAAATTCCATTCATATATCTTCCTTAAAACACAAGCTGATGACTTAGAGATTATTATTTTACATGAAAACTTTTTTTTATTTTTCTATGTCTCTTATCTATGACACCATTTTAAAAAATTAAAATGTTTCCATTGAAGATAAAGTTCATTTAAGAATATGGTTCCGTATAATTTTTTTCAGAACATTTATCACTTCCTTATTTCTCAGACTATAAATAAAAGGGTTTAGTAAAGGAATTACTATTGTATAAAAAATAGCCACTGGTATATCTTTACTCCCTTCTTCAAGTGGTCGAATATACATGAGTAGACAAATGTAGAATATTGAGACAGACAGAAAGTGGGATGAACAGGTAGAAAATGCTTTACCTCTCCCTTCTTTGGATTTCATTTTGAAAACAGTAAAAAGAATGCAAATATAAGAAATCAGGACAGTGGCAATGGTGAAGATTTGAATTGGCATTGAAAAAATATATATCATTAGTTCATTGATGTAAGGGTCAGTGCAGGAGAGTCTATAGAGTGGAAGGATATCACAAAAAATATGGTCAATTTTATTAGATCTGCAGAAAGTTAACCTTAACAGAAGCCCCGCATGGATCATGGAATGCAGGTTGCTGGCTATGAAGGTCCCTACAGTCATTTGGATGCAGAGTTCCTTTGACATCATGGTGTGGTACTGCAATGGGCTACATATGGCTACATAGCGATCATAAGCCATTGCTGCCAGGAGAAAGCAGTCTGCAGTTTCAGCAAGGCAGAGAAAATAAAATTGTACTATGCATTCATTGAGGGAAATCACTCTGTCCTCAGAAAAGAAGTTTCCTAACATCTTGGGAGTAATGGCACAAGAACAACAGGAATCCATCAGAGCCAGGTTGCCTAGATAGATGTACATTGGTGTGTGAAGTTGGCGCTCCATAAATATCAATGCCACCAGGCCGAGATTACCCATCATGGTGATCAGATAGATGGCAAAGAACACCAAAAACAGAAGGATCTTCAGCTGTGGATAATCTGTAAATCCTATGAGGATAAACTCAGTTGTCAAGGAGTGATTTTCCTTAGCCATTCCTGGCTTCTTGGCTGAGATAGAAATCATAGAGAAATGAAATTCTAAGGTAGAATGATGTAGTTCTGCCTCCCTAATATTTCCATATACCAAATGAAAAAACTTTCTTTAATCATCCTATGCTGTCTCCTGAAAACTAGCACACACACAGTAGGTCAAGTCTGTGAGAAGAAAAGTATCACAGATGGTGTACACAGGATTGCCTAGAAATGCTTGTGTAAATCCCCAAGAGAGAATAGCTTTTTCCCTGAATGAATTATCCAATGCTGATGTGAAAAGTCCTAGTCAGTGTATATAATTTAGCATCTCCAAAATTAAAAATACATTTTCTTATGGTGTCTTTTCCTCCAGAAAAAGAAACAAACAAGTTTAAAATACTTTCTTATGGAACTGATGTGGCATTTGAAAATACATTGCTCTTTAGACATTTTAAGTGTCTAATATTAAGAACTCCACAGAATCACAGTGGATTTTTAAAATGGTTCCTCTGGCTTAGTATTCCTTCATAGCTAAGTTTATCATTGGATACTTGAGAGAAAGATGTGCTCACCTTTAAGACAGTGTAAGAATATAAGTTAATTTTGATAGTTTTATATTTATTGCAAAACATTCTGAATCTTACTCCTATGTTAATAGAACACATCCCCCAAGAAATTATTATTCTTAATGGTCTATTTATCTTAATATTTTCTGCCTCTAGTTTTAAGTGTCCTACATGCATGTCTAATATTATGAGATTTGGCGACTAAGTCTCATTCACAGTGTTCATATTCCTTGTGATAAATACCTATCTTGCACTCTGTGAAACTGCTAATATAGAAATTAATGTCTTAATTTTGGTGAATCCCATGAAGGTTCTACATTTATTATATGATTATTTATACTTACAAATACATTTACTTCTAATTCCCTATATATTTATTGGAATTCAATGATCACCCAAGTATATTATGTATTTATTATAGTTTAGCAACCATAATATTACAAGAAACATAGGTTTTTAAGAATGTCAAAACCATCTTTCTTTTCTTCCAGAAATTGCTAAAAATATTTGGCCTCAGCATTTTTCAGATAGACAATTTTGAAGAAGAATCTACAATGGTTAATCAATGTACATTGTTTTAAAAACTTATTTTGGTTAGTATTTTTTTTCTGTTTATCATTGTCTACACTGAATTTAATAGACTATTTTTCATATAGTATGGTAAGGTTTTCTGGAGTCTTATCACTAGAAGGTTACAATCAAATGAATAAAATATTTTTGCCCTTTGTATTTTAGATTCATAACACTTCAAAAATACCTTTTAGAATTATAGTATTTTGGAAAAAACATAGTGAAAGTATGCAAAGACAGCTTTTTATTATTATTTTAGCAAAACATAATGGTAAATCCATGGAAAATGCTTATATGAACTCTGGTTTAGTTTTCAATAATCACTGTTTTATGTAAAATGTAGTGTATCAGAATAATAAGTGAAAACTCATTCATTCTTCCCCAATGTGAAATACAAATTATTCAACTGACTTAGAAATCAATATTACTTTACATCCTATAATTATTTTACAGAGTTATTTGCAGCCTTACCTGTACGTTTATGGAGACGACAATGGTATTTTTGAACTCAGAATAGGTCAGAATGATCCACTGTAGTGTGTTTCTTCATGGCTGTCTAGGTGTCTTCAATTTAGAGACAGACCACAAAAATACTTAAGTAAATAAAATGCAAAACCATTAGAAGTGCTGAAGTATTTTAGGGAAGTGTATATTTTTGCATTTTAATGCTTTCATGTAAATATATTAGAAATCAGTCCTCATATAAAATGACAAACATTTTATAGTAGCTGATTGGCCGTCTGATATTTGTTATTAGATAAATTAAGAAAATCTGGGTGTTTAAAACATTGGGGAATAAATTATGTAACTCTAGGATATTCTCATACTAGTAGGTCAGTGACAATAATTGGGTTAGCCTCAGGCAAAGTTAAAGTTTTCCGTTGATTCTAGAGGGATTACCTGGTGCTGGCATCATGGCATTTCAGCAGAAATGCCTAACCTGATAGATATCATTTCTAAAACACAAGTAAATCAAAGAGCATCAGTGAAGGAGAAATATCCTTTGAGATTTGGGGATTAAATTAAATGACCATCACTAAAGTCAGCTAAGGATCATGCTGGTTTTTTTTTTTTTCATTGTTATACAATTACAGTTGTCTCCATTTTCCCCCATTACTCTCCCCCACCCTACCCACCCCCACCTCCCACATTCAATCCCCCCACCCCCCACACCATTTTCTTTGTCCCTGGGTTCTTTATACATGTTTCCTGATGACCCTTCTTTCCCTCCTTACCCCCCTTTCCCCTCCCCTCTGGTTACTGTCAGGTTGTTCTTTATTTCCATGTCTCTGGTTATATTTTGCTTGTTTGTTCTGTTGATTAGGTTCCACTTATAGGTGACATCATATGGTATTTGTCTTTCACCGCCTGACTTATTTCACTTAGCATAATACTCTCCAGTTCCATCCATGCTGTCAAGAAGGGCAGGAGTTCCTTTTCTTTTTTTTTTAAGATGTTATTTATTTATTTTTAGAGAGGGAAGGGAGAGAGAGAGAGAGACAGAGAGAGAGAGAGAGAGAGAGAGAGGGAGAGAAACATCAATATGTGGTTGCTGGGGGTTATGGCCTGCAACCCAGGCCTGTACCCTGGCTGGGAATCGAACCTGCAACACTTTGGTTTGCAGCCCGCACTCAATCCACTGAGCTACACCAGCCAGGGCTCCTTTTCTTTTTTGCTTCATAGTATTCAACTGTGTAAATGTAGCACAGTTTTTTGATCCATGTACTGATGGGCACTTAAGCTGTTTCCGGCACCTGGCTATTGTAAATAACGCTGCTATGAACATAGGGGTGCATAGGTTCCTTTGAATTGGTGTTTCAGGGTTCTTAGGGTGTAAACCCAGCAGTGGAATTGCTGGGTCAAAAGGCAGTTCCATTTTTAGTTTTCTGAGGAAATTCCATACTGTTTTCCATAGTGGCTGCACCTGTCTGCATTCCTACCAATAGTGTGGATTCCCTTTTCTCCACAACCTCTCCAACACTTGTTTGATTGTTAGTGATGGCCACTCTGACCAGTGTGAAGTGGTATCTCATTGTGGTTTTAATTTGCATTTTTTCTGCTGGCTAGTGATACTGAGCATCCTTTCACATGTCTCTGGGCCCTCTGTAAACAATCCAATTAAAAAATGGTCAAAGGACCTGAACAGACACTTCTCCAAAAGGAGTATATTGATTTTTTACACAGTTGAGATATCTCTCCCTCCCTCTCCCTCCCCCCTTTCTGTTCTTTGTTCCACACCCACCCCATACCCTGTTTATTTGAAAACTATAGTGGAGAGAAGAAAGTCATGTTGATCACTTAATGGAGAAAGTGGAATTTAAGCCAAAATGTGCATAGAGATTTGGATTTGTGGAAAAAAGACAAAAATGTGGTTGCATTCTTATTTTATTCCCTTTGGTGAATCTGCCCATGCTATAGATATTGGTTGATTAGCCACTTCTGATGGGAGAATGGATCATTGAATTTAGAATTACCATCTTTTATTAGAAGAAAAGTATATATATATAACTCATCCTAAATTCAGCAGCTCTTTTAAATATTGACGTATTCTCAGTGAACCTCTGTAGAGTACATGGTCTCTTCTCTCAATTTAAGATGTCATAAAGATTATAGTATTTTAGAATCATTTTAATTAAAAGAAAACCATATCAATGGCATCTTGTTTCTTTACGTGTACTCCTGGCTTCAGTCTTTGTCACAGTAGCTTGCCTATGAATGACAAAAATAATTATTTGCTTTTTTAAAAAGATTTTATTTCTTTGTTTTCAATTTTTTATAGATTTTATTTATTTATTTTTAGAGAGAGGGAAGGGGAGAGAGAAAGGGAGAGAGAGAGAAACATCATTGTGTGGTTGTCTCTCATACTCTCCCTGCTGGGGACCTGGCCCACAACCCAGGCATGTGCCCTGACTGGGAATTGAACCACCAAGCTTTTACTTCATGGTCCAGCACTCAATCTACTGAGCCACCCCAGCCAGGGCCAAAAATAATTATCTTCAAATGAAGTGGTATCTCTACTTGTTCTATTCATTTATTTATTGTGTGGCAGTTGTTAATGACAAAGGAACACATTTTACTTTGTTGCTATATTGTTTTTCTGCATTATTTCTGCCAATTTTTAAATGAGTACAGGTATTTTTACTCAGTAAAAATAAGCATTTCCCCACTCGTATATGGCTTTTTATCTCTAACTTTTAATTACATAACCTCGATAGGAGCTTCTTAACTTTCATCATTTAGTTAAATTTATAAAGTAATGGAATAAGTATTGCATAATGATAGTTGGCAGTTAGTGAGCAGCTGCTTTGCTCTGGGCACTCTTCTCATTTAATATACTAACTCATTTAAACTGCACAGCAGTCCTGTAAGGTAGGTTATATTATGATTCCAATTCTATAGATGAGGAAATTAAAACACATCACACAGAGGTAAAGTAACCACTGCCAGGTCCCGTACCTTACAGTGCCCAGTGACTTTACCCAGTGACTTTGTCCCAGTGACCACACTCTGTGCTTTTAGTCACCATAATATATCATTTTATGTTAAATGACATTAAACATGGGTTTCTTTTAAAATTCAAAAGTCCTTCATGCCCTGGGTGCATAGTTTTAAAAAGTTTAGGCAAAAGCTGGGGTTGGGATGGGGGGGAGTGGTGAGGGGAAAATGGAGACAGCTGTACTTAAAAAATAAAAATAAATAAAATGTTTAGGCAGTGGTAGTAGAGTAACAGGTCTGTTTTCAATAGCTGGTGTCACAAAACACATTTCAGGATGAGTTTCACTATTATTGATAGTAGATAAAAACTCAAATCTCTCATACAGTTTTCGATACTTTTGGCTAGCCTTTTTCGGATAATATTAGAGTCATCAATTTTATCTCTAAAACT